CAGGATCAGTAAAAAAATAAAATAAAATAAAATAAAATAAAATAAATTTTCACCTTCTAGAAGCAGTCAGGGCATGAAATTATAAAGTGTAACAAAGGACTATAGACATGACCATGTCTTAGAAACTTACTTTACCAGCTCTTACTCATATTTAATATTCTTACCTTAGCAAATGAAGAACATTATCAACCTGGAAAATGACTTTTTGTATTGTGAAATCCTAGCAGCCCTAGGTAGAATTTAAAGCCTAATATGAGAATCTCTGTTATTCGCTTATCCCAGAAAATCTGATTGCACAAAAAATATCTGTATTAAGCACATTAAAATGGAAAATCTATTGATCCTGTGAAATATTGTAGCAAATACGTGCAAGTTTATGATACTGCTGAATAGGCCCTTAAAGTTGAGCAACATCTTTTGTTTCCAGGTTGATGCCAAGGTATTAAATTTCAGTAAAAGTAATTTGTCTTGAGTTCAAACTAGCTTATGATATTTGTCATTACATACAGTTCAGCTTATTCAGAACTGGTAGAGAAAACATGACATCATGAGAAATGTGTTATTACATTTGTCCCAATACTAATATTTGCAGAGAGACTGAGATGCATGATTTGCACAACCATATTCAAGACATCAAAATGTTTAATGGAATAGGCAAATCCATAAAAAAAATAAAAACTTTACACCAGAACTTGGAACAGGATTAATGTACCTATCGAGAATGTGACTTGTCCCCTACTGAGTTACTGACAGAAGGACTGGGTAAGAGTTGGTGCAGTAGAAGTCAGGACATCATAGTGTCAACTTTTACACCTTCCTCATTAGAAAGCCAGGACAGAAACTGCCACAACACAAGGAAATTATCAGAAAATTCCCTAAGAACTCTTTGTAGCTGCCCGGTCATATTGTGGCTATGGTTGGGAGGCTGACTTCTCCAGCTGGTATTGCACTGCAGCTCGTATTTCTGGGTACTCAGCTCTACAGCTACCATCAAATGGCATTAAATGGTATACCCAAATCAATAAGGTTACTATAATATGTACTCCATAAACATGGAGAGAATCAGAGTTCCTGATGATAGGCATACGTTTTCCATTCCATTCTGCTACATGAGCGTCTGTATTTAAAAATATAAAGGAAGCTCACAGTGGTCTTTTTGGAATCTGGAGGCAACAGATTCTACACCATGGAATACTGGTCAGGCCCGCCATCCAAGTGACATGGAGTCTTCCCAGCCTTTAGTGGGACCCAGGGCAGAAAAGGGCTCTGCAGCAGGTTCAGCCTGCACTGTAGGCAACACTGTCTCTTGTGCCAGTGCAGATACAGATGACTTGCCAAAGCTCTCAACCATGTGGGCAGGATTGACACTGAGAGAACACTCCACCACTACAGCAGACTCCATAACCATTTTAAAACATTAGTAAGACAGATCATGCTTAGGGTCACAGGATATTACAAAGAAATTAAATCGATTTAAATCACACAAAATAAAGTTTCAGAAGGCAAGGGAAATTTACTAGGAATCAATGACAGAAAGCTATCAGAAAAAAATCAAAACATTTTTAGACTATGTAACATACTACCAAATAAAGTCTGGGACAAAGATGAAACCAAGAAATGAACATTTCAAAAAATTTGAAGTGAAAGAAAACACATTATCAAAATTTGTGGGATGCAAGAAAACATCGAATTTATAACCCTGAATTTCTAGAAATATTCATGCATTTTAGAAAATAAATTTTCAAGCCAATCCCCTGAACTGCCACCCTGACATGCAAGTACAATAAGAGTAAATTGTGCTCAAAATATGTTATTCTTAAAAGTGTGGGCATATGATGAGCACATGTCCAGTACTGCAGCAAAGAAATCACGTTAGTCTGGAAATAAAAATCCACATTAGCAGCTTCACAAGAGAAAGTGGATGGGCAGGGTGTGTAAGTGTGCAGAGAAAATTGGAAGATAGGAATAGTGGAAATAGAAATCATATGTAATATTAATATGGGCTGTACATGTTTGAGAGCCCTGTGAGCTTTGACTTGCTCAAAAGGATAAATCATGCAGTGCAGATAACTTTCCATCCTCCAGAGGGTTGGTGAGAGTGGGGTCATTTGACAACGGGAGGAGGAAGTGCCCCGAAGGTCATCAGAGGCAGCAGGTGAGGTCACGACCCACTAGGATCCCCTCCCAGTGACGTGAACGAGCATCCCTGAAGCCATGAGGACAGCAGGGAACTTCATGGCTGCTCCAGAGAGGACATGGCAACCACATCCTGGAGAATCTGTGGGGCCTGAGCACCCTAAGTTGGGAGGAAGGGAGAGGCTCTGGGAGGCTTCCTGGGGGCCCTGGCCCTGTTCGCACAGAAGTGAAGCCCATGCCTGTAAGTGAGGACTCATGGTCTCCTCTTCAAAGGCTCTCCAGCCGTCTTCACCATCTTCTCCAGCCCAACGGCTGTGGGCTCCATCTCTGGGTGCTGCAGTTGCTGGTGCTGCAATGAGAGGCTGAGCCTACTAGAGGGGCTGTGTTTGAGGCCCTCAGGCTGTGCAGGGTCCTGGTGAGGGTTCTGCTCACAGGAGAACGTGCAGCATCTCCAAACTCCAAACTGGTGCCTGTGATGAAGAAATGAATAAAATTTTGATAGTACGTGTGTTCATACTTGTTGAGATGTGTGAAAATATACTCTGGAGACTTGTCACAAATTTGGTCTTATACACCACTTACTATAAACCTAATTTTTACTGTCTGTGTGGTCTGTCTGGTTAAAACTACAGATTTAATTATACTTGTCATGGAATCCAATATCTTTAATAGAAAATCATTTCTAATATAACACACTTCTTTAAATCTGGATTACTTTATCCCGTTGATTGTAACAATGTTTTACTTTAGTTATACTATGCCATAGCAGGCAAATGAGAGGCTCATTACTAATTCACAGATATCCATAGAGTACTATTTTAAACTGACTCTATAGAAAGCATATATTTTTTATATCACTATTATAAGAAGGTGGGAATCAGGTTTATGTCCAAGTACTGACCAGATACAGTGAAAATAATACATCCCAATTATTGTTTGAAAATATTTTCCTTTTTTTGACGAAACAGTACCAGCGTAGTCACTTCTAAAATTTACTTGTGTTAAAACAATGGAAGGAATCTTCATTCTCAGGCACAGTGAAGTAGATAAAAGTGGAAAGGCCAAAACAATCACTGCAAAAAGTACAAACCATTTAAAATAACGCAATACCAAAGTTAGATTTTAATGATGTTAGAAAGTAGTGGAAGGAATGAGGAATGGATGTTCTGAAATTCCATACTAAAAAGAACCTTTCATTGTTGAGTTGACACACCTGACTTTTTGTCCTCCTGCCACAGCCGCCAAATTTGCCTATGGACACAAGCTCTGACTTGGCACAGGCAGAGGAGCTCTCCTGGGAAAGGAGAATCCAGCTGAGACTTGGGGGTTGTGCACAGCAGCCTCTATATGTGCCCCGTGTTTTCCATGGGACACGTGTTGAGGTCTGAGTCAGCAGCCAGGGATGGAGGTGCTGGGTTAGAAGGACATAAAACTCCCACAGATACAATGTGCTCCCCCAATCCCCAAGGCTGCACAGAGCACCCTGAATACATGTCTGAGTCATAGACACCAGACTCCACCCCCGCTGCCCGCCCCCTGCTGGTGTAGACCCTGCTGGGCCTTCTGTTCAGCATGTCAGTGCTTGTGACATCTCCAGACCCAACCAGCAGTCTCTAGGGCCAGAATGAGTTTCAGATGCTCTGTTTGGCTGTGTTGGGTTGACAAGATATGAGCAACATGACCTCAGGTCTCTTTCCACAGCGATTTCAGTAAGTCGGTGGTGGTTACAGATATAAAACGCTTCCCAAAACATTATTTTCCCAGGAAATTCGCAGTGATGCAGGCTCCACCCAGGAAGCCAGGTAGTGGTGCCTTCAACTCTGGGATTCTTCACAAGAAACATATCAAGCCTCCTGGGTCCACATCATGAACTACCAACTCCACCACCATCCACATCCCTACCTACCAAAGGCCAAGGGCAGTTTAACTGAAGCTGACCTCTCCTATGTCTCCTTCACGCTTTCATCCCTGAAGTCTGCCCAGTCTGAAATTCTTAACATTTTGAAGTAAAAATGTGCACATCATCCTGTACTTTTCCAGTTTTCTATGGGAAAAATTACATACTCTACATTTTCCAGTATATGCTTTTTATTTTTGAAAAGAACTTTTGGAATTTCAGGGACTCATTTTTTCTATCATTAAAAGGTAACTAAGGCTAATTAAACAGTTTTAGCATTAGGATCTTGTATCTTTTATGAATTTATGAAAATCTATTTGATACTCCAAAATCAAGGTTTTCACTGACTGTCCTCAGCCAGCTTCCCCTTATGGTAACTAGTATAGATTGTTGTCTCTACTGCCTTTGGGGAGCAGGAGAATAGGGGAAGCAGAAAGTTAGAAAACTGGCAAAATACCAATATTAAATATTATCAGATGTCCTCAACTGCTAAACGCGAAGATGTATCCAACATGGATAGTCACAATCTGTGTCAATGGTCTGTCTCCTCTGCTGATTACATTTAATTGGCAAATGTACACAAGGCAGGGAGCATTAGGGTGAGCTTTCATTCTCCTCTCCCTTCCATCTTGCTTGTTTACTCCCAGGGCACCTGAACCCCTCATTCTCCTGCTGCTTATGACAGTAAAGGTTGTGGTAACTGGCAGGGCATAAAGGAGTGGTGCCTGCGGTGTGGCTGGGCTCTCAAAGTCCAGAGTCCTCAGCTGTGAATTGTCCCCTGCTTCTCCAGCATCTTCCTCTTACACAGATTCTGAGACCCTGCTGAGCTGCTCCCCAGTCAAGCACCACATGTGGACAGCTGGGCCACCCCATAGGGAGGTTTTTGTTCAGGGCTGTACCACTGTGGGAGGCCAGTGTGTACCTTGCAGCAGTAATAAACCCCAACATCCTCAGCCTCCACTCTGCTGATTTTCAGTGTGAAATCTGTCCCTGCCCCACTGCCGCTGAATCTGTCTGGGACCCCAGAGTACCGGTTAGAAACCTTATAAATTAGGAGCCTTGGAGGTTGGCCTGGCTTCTGCTGTAACCAACTCAAGTAGGTGTTTCCATTACTGTGTACAAGGCTTTGACTAGACCTGCAGGAGATGGAGGCCGGCTGTCCAGGGGTGACAGGCAGGGTAAGTGGAGACTGAGTCATTACAACATCCCCACTGGATCCTGAAATAAATACAAAGAAGAGCAAGGTTATGTAGATACTTTATGCGTCATTTTCATAAATTTTGATTTGTTGTTTGTTTCAGGCTATATATTTATTTGTTCACATTTCAAGAATATAAAATTTCTAAAATGAAACTCTAGGAATCCATGGCTCAAAGTGGTCTCCAGAAGACCCCACACCATCCCCTCTTTCTGTGTCAGTCTTCCCCAGTACACAGATCCTTGTTTCTTCCTGAATCTTCCTCACTCTCACAGATCTGAACATCACAAGCCCCATCCTGGAGGACAAGATGTGCACGTGCAGTACATGAAAGGAAAACACATAGGAGTGTAGTGAGGCCCCCAGAGCTCACTGCTCATAGGAGTGTAGTGGAACCCCCAGAGCTCACCGTTCCACCCCATTCTCCTCCCCCATCTCCCTTCTGCCCTTACCGGGGACGCAGAGCATTAGCAGCCCCAGGAGCTGAGCAGGGAGCCTCATGGTGCACTGAGGAGTTCTGATCAGTCAAGACAAGCTTAGAGCTGAGCTTTTATCTCAGACTCCCAAGGGAAGGTCCT